GAAAGAAAGAAAGAAAGAAAGAAAGAAAGAAAGAAAGAAAGAAAGAAAGAAAGAAAGAAAGAAAGAAAGAAAAAGACCTGGCTCTGCCAACTGACATGGGGCGAAAAAAAGGGCAACCAACCCTGGGGGTGGCTGGCACCTTGAAGATGCTCCCATATGTTAACATCTTGGAAGATATTATTTGTGTATATGTTTGGTTTTTGTTCTATTTTTATTGTATGTTATATTGTTTTTATTGTATTTTAATATTTATTGCTATTTTATTGTGAACCGCCCAGATGGGCGGTATCTAAATTTTACTTTTATATGTATATGTACACACATATATGTATATATATACATACACAAACAAACAAGGAGGGTAAAACAATATTGCCCGTATTGTGTCTGCCGATAGCTATCCAGGGGCCCTGTTTAGGGTGACACGATCCCTGGTGGACAGGGAGGCCCCCAGAATCATCTAAAGGGCCACTATGGGGACTATTCAGCCTATCTGGTAGATAGTCATTCAGATCTGCTCTGACTAGACAGGCCTGGCCAAGGTGCCTGGGGCCTAGCCTTGTGTTGTGATCTGGGATAGGTTTGAACCAGTGACTCCTGAGGAAGTGGACAGGGTTCTCTTGCCTATCAGTTCAACCACCTCTTTATTGGACCTGGGCCCACTTGGGTCATGAAAGCGGCCAGAGTGGTGACATGCTGTTGGGTCCATCCTGTGCTGATGGCCTCTTTGAGGGAGGGGGTGATACCTCCTGCCTTAGAGGTGGTGGAGTGCTCCCTTCTCAAGAGGCCATTCTTGAACCCAAACCTACCGAATGACTGGGGATGTTAGGGCCACCTAAATTCAAGGTGCTGGTTATGATTTTTAAAGCCCTACATGGCATAGGCCCTGGTTATTTGAGGGACTGCCTGTCTCCCATGATATCAGCTCAGCCAGTTCAATCCAACAGGGTTGGCACGTTCCAGGTCCTCTCAATTAAATGTTGCCATCTATCAGGACCCAGAAAGTGTGCACCTGCCCTCTGGAATGAGGTTCGCCCTTATATCCGTATGGCTCCCATCCTGATGACATTCGGGAAAGCCTTGAAGACCTGGTTGATCTCCTAGGCTTTGGGTTAGTGCAGCTGGAGCCCCTTGCCTGAGGGTGTGGGTGTTGCTAACTGGACACACCATCAATCCTCGTTCTTTATTTCTTTTTTATTTTATATTCATTTATATATAATTATTGTATTGCATTTTCTGTTCTGTTTGGCTTTAATTGTACACCACCCACAGTCAGTTCAGAGTCAGGAGGTGCTTAAATTGGACAAATTAAATTGGACAAGATAAGATGGCATAGAGAATAGAGAGAGAACCTTGACAGAAATATGCAAGAGTCATAACAGATAGCCCTGATTCACAAGTATCAGAGGTAGGGGAGGGACAGCAAGATTCTGTTACTATATTATTCTAGATTTCCTGTGGAGTTATTTTCTGGTTAGGTCTACCCAGTGGGGCAGACAGATGGCTTTTCTTTTTCAGAGCCATATTCTAGGGAAGTCTTGCTAAGATTAATCAAAATACCACAATCCTACAGTCAGACAGACATCTGGCATTTTATGAAAGATGCCTCTGAAGGCGTAGACTAGATTCCTACATTTTACCAAGCCCCAATGTGGTGTACTTAACATGTGAACCCAACGATAATACTCATTTTATGATTTAGTAGTATGTGCAAATACCAAACCAATGGTTCAAAGCAAAGTGTATGTATATAGTCTGCCTCTGAGCTGAACTTCTAGCTGTGCCCCATTTTGTTCTGTTTTACACACTCCTTTCTTCTGCCTGCTTCATGCAAACTAACTTATTGCTAGCCCCAAATTTGTACAGAAGGAAAGAGCAAATGCATTACAGATTGTATGACTTTTCCCGATGCTGCATTTCTCATCTCTTACCGTACAATTAAGAACTGGTCACCAAGAAAACTCACAGATTCCAAAATTGGGGAGCAGCATTTCATGAGCCTTTACCGATTGTGTTGATTAGATTTATATCCTGCCCTTACTTCAGAAGCTCAGGGTGGCAGACATAGTCCTTCCTTCTCCTGTTTTTCCCTCACTGACCAAGCTGGGAGAGAATGGCTGGCCCAGTGAACTATAGCTGAGGGTGGAGTAGACCCTCCTAGTAGTAGACCCATTCCTAGTCCAGCACCATAACCACCACATCACATTACTGACCCTGTTGCTTATTTATTTTCTCCCAAGGATGCCAGGCTACATCAGAACAAAACAGTATTCCCCTTTGTGGCAAAGAAGAAGTGGGCTGTTCTTGATATTCACACTTCAAGAATTAACAATGTAAAGATGAATTAAACGTAGTCACTTACTGCTGCAATGCAGTCATTGTTGTCATTGTTGTAGTAATTGCAATTTCCTCCAGTGCAGCAGCTTTCCGTAAGAGACGACCACAGGCTACAGACCAGAAAAATGGAGAGAAGACATCAGGCAGATGGGACCAAGAAAGTATAGAACTCAAGGATGAGGGATCTTCCACTCCTGTCCCCCTACCAAAAATACCCATGTCGTTCAAAGGAAATTCTACTACTTCCTAGCCATTCCTCCTGGTGTTTCTAAATGACTGGAACTTTTGTCTGAGAAGGCATTAACGCTAAAGGTAGGATAGGAAGCATTGGTTTAATCTGCAGAAACATTAAGATGCCTGGCTGAGGTGGTCAACTTCTGTCCCAGAAAAAAGCGATGTTGGAGGTTTCAAGTATTGTAGTGTTGTGGGCTATCTGGAAATGAGGGGCCAGTTTATTTATTTATTAAATTTGTATGCTGCCCATCTCCCCCAATGGGTGACTCTGGGCGGCTCACAATTAA